TCTGCCTTTTTCAACGTGTTTGCTCGAGCGTGGGCCAAGAGGATCTCAATTTTTACGGCGGCTCTTACCGTCTCCTGGCGCGAAGGGGTTAACATGAATTATTGAAGTGTCCATGAAGTTGCGGGTGGAATAACTAATTCCCAAAATTCAGTACTTGATGCACTCTGGTGTCAGAGTCACAATGCCTTTGCGAAGGTCGAGAACTGCTCCAAGGTAGGTCGGCCTCTGTGATGGGGCGAGGGCCGACTTGTAGTTGATGAGAAACCCCAGGTGTATCGTGATGTCGAGGGTGAGAGAAGTGCAGGTACATTGTCGCAGATGAGCAGCGAGTGTCTTGGCGACTCGGTGAAGACCCTTAGTGAAATGGAGAGACCTAAGTGGAGAGACCAAAGAAGAGAGCCTGAAACCCGTAGGTTTGGCCGCAATATCTGAAGCGAGGAATTTGCGGTCCTGCTTGTGTATTGGAATATCGAGATATGCATCCTGCAGATCTATGGAGGTGGCTTAGCATGAAACCTTCTAGAAGCGGCCAGGGGGCGGAGCTTGAAGGAAGTCTGAGGACTGAGTTGCTGACTGGAGTAGACAACTGAAGGAACTGCCTGAAGACGGAGATGGACCTGCCTGTCGTCTCGGTGGCGGTGGGGGCTGCCGGCCTGGAGGACCTGCAGGTTCACGAAATGAAATTTTTTGGTGGTCTCCATACACTTCACCTCCAACTTCGGTGAATTTCATGGTGAACAAGTCGTCCCCGAGGGAAGAGATCATGGAAATTGGTCACCCCCTTTTTTCATGGTTACCCTTCCACCCTTCTGTTATAGTATTCTGGCCCAGATTGTTTTACCCCTAAGGATAATGGATCAACCCATGTCACTGGGGTGCCACAGGTGCAGGGGCAGGAAGTTGGCAAGTTTCATTGTTCTCCATGTAATGATCCTACCAGCGCATGCTAGAGTTTTCACATTACATGTATTAAATAAGTTTGTCTTTCTCCCTGCATTCCTGACTGTACCTCCATTATTTTTTACAGGATCATGGGCTTAATCATTTAAATTTAACTCCCGCAAGCACCATTCCTGATTGCCACGCAAGGAGCAACAGATCCAGTAGTTTGCTCTTGACCAACTTGTAGGGTATGTGCATGGTGTCCACCGCACTGGCTCTATGGCTGGAAGTGGCCAGAAGCGAGATACAGGTGAACTGCTCAAAGACGGAGTTAAGTCCCTCGTCGCAAAATCAGGTTAGACAGGGGACTCCTCCTCACAGGCCCAGGTGATATATTCTGAGAGTAGGAGGAAGACCGAGCATTGGAGGCTGAAGTGAGAAGTTGTGGCCTTGGACAAGGAAGAAGAAGGAGTCGAGGAAGGTCTTGGCCTTGTGCTTCTTAGTCTTCACTGGAGCTTGGGAGCCGAAGGCTAGGACGGTTGAAGCTGCAGCCGGGCGAGGATCCCCCGAAGGGTTGTTCGTATCCTCGGATGGGAGAGTCCATTGACAGACCGGAGGTCATACTAGAGCTGCAGATGGGATGCGGTGGACAAAAGCCCTGACGGCGTAGCAGTCCAAAGGAGGTAGCATTGCGCGATGCAATGTGAGGCAGTGTGCCGTGACGTGCAGTGCTGTGGACTCACCCATGGCGGAAGCAGTGGAGCATAGCAAACCGCTGTGGAGCCCATTGCCCACTCGGAGGGGGTGACTGGCCCGACTTCCCAGCAGACGGAGCACAGTCAGCGGAAACAGGGTGAGGGACCCAGGGCAGATGGCGGGCCATTGCCCTGTGACCCTGCTTGGCAGGGTCACTCGGAGATGTGTTAGATAGCGACGCTAGTCTCCTGGAGCATAGAGAAAGAGGAACAGGTCGTTATGCTCTGGTCAACCGTGATCAAGGGTAGTGTTGCGGCATGGCACGCTCAACCCAACCTGTAGATATGCCAAGTGGACGTCAGGGATCAAGGGTAGTGTTTGAAGCAGCACGGTCAACCTGATCAATCCAAGTGGTGGTTTTCATTGATCAAGGGTAGTGTTAGGGCACAGTATGCTCAACCTGATCAATACAGGCCAGTGGTCATCAGTGATCAAGGGTAGTATTGCAGCACAGCACGCTTAACCCTATCAATGTAGATATACGTCCGGGATAGTGTTGCATTGCATGCTCAACCCCGGCCTAGCCACTCCGCTTGGTCTTCCCCGACACGGCCGGTAGTCTCGGATAATGCAAACCACACCACAGGGGAGCAAAGCAGCCCGTCAGGCCCCACTCTACAGCTGACCCATACAGCGGAACACAGTGGGCCGTTATTGTTCGAACGCACGTACCACACTGAGAACAAAGGGCTGCCGGTCAGCCCCGTTCAACGGCCATACACCACACAATACAACAGTAGGTCACACCCAAACCTACAGATAATGCACAGAAAAAGGGGCAGAAAAGAAACGACAAAAGTACAAAATACGAAAATAAGCACACTTACCGATAGATAAGAAATCACTCTTTATTTGTAATCAGGAATCAAGTCAATTCACAAACGCGAAAGGTTATGGAACTCGAAACTCGAAAATGCCGTAAATACACGTCTGTAAATGATAGGTGCTGAGAAAAGGACAGACGAACATGGCGGTGTGACCACAGTGCATTGTGGAGGGTCAAGGGGCAGTATGCATAATCAAGTCTTTTCAGCAAATTATAATAGGCACACAGGAAATTTGCGTATGTAGACTGGGCAGGGGTTTGTAAATGCAGGAGACTATGTGTACAGCGTAAAGATAAATGTATATCTCATTCCATGCAATATCGAGACCCCACCTGTCCTAGAACTACAAACCAGAAAAGTAAGGCTAAATTTCCCAGTCTACAAAAAAATGCAAACATCTCAGCTGACACATTAAACTCCTGAAAAAGAACAGTGCGTCTGGAATGTAAAAGTCGCAGTTGCAGCCGGAGATAACTAAAGTTATTTCCTGTGTTGAACCCACTGCTTTCGTTGCACACTCACTGTGGCCATTGCGTTCTGCTTGTTTTGCAATCATACTGAAGACTTTTGTGTACTAGGAAATTACATTGATGTGTAAAGTAGGGGACAAACTGCAACCAAGGGCTGGTTGCTAAGGCTTTGAAAAATCGTGGCAAATGCGGTCAAACTGCAGTTCACCCTTTTTGCAAAGGCATCTAAAACTGTTTTGAGTTTTAAAGTAATGATAATGAATCTTGATACTTTGGCGGATTCATTAAAATGTTAAATTTGATATCAGCACAAGCCAAATCCTTTCAATACATCTCTTATTTAAGAAACGTGCAATATGCTAATTAACATATCAAAACAACACACATTCATATAGAAAACAGTATACATACCTCACTTTCATAGTCTGTCACTTGGGCAAATGGGAAAATCCGATTCAGGTTTCCTTTCTGGATGTTGCAGATCTGACAAGACTGAAAATCTATCTGAAAAAGAAAAAAAATAGACTAGAGGGAATATTCTGTTTTCATCTTTTTGGAAAAAAAGATTGAATCAATTCGTTGAAACTATCTGTAAGGGAAAATGTGTTTGAAATTCTCATAGCAATCCCCAGGCGAAACACTGGTAAAATCAATAAAAGTGCAAAGCGAAAAAAATGTCCAAAACCTATGGAAAAACTGCAATTTTAATCTCATGTCACGTGACTCCTGATGACATCACCACGACGATTTTATTTTGACAGCCCCACGGGTTGATGGACTACCTATGCTCCCAATACAAAAAATACTAAGACGTATGGAATGCACCAGTCTTCGACTTCAGAAAAACGTGCACAAAATCTATGGAGAAAAACTGCAGCTTTAACATTACCGTATATCATGTGATGATAACTGATTATGAAATATTATTTGATAGTTGGACTCTTGGGTAAAAATGTGATCGAATGAAGACAAAAAAAAAAAAACTTTTCCTTCATTCTCATAGTAATCCTAAGCCGACGTTCAGGACTACTCTCATTGAGATTGATAATATTGCGCAGTTGAACAACGTGTAAAAAACCTATAGGGACAACTGTAACTTTAATATCATGTCACCTGCCTCCTGAAGCGCCACCATGATGATTTTATTTCGACAGCCCCACAGGTTGATGGACTACCTATGCTCACAATACAAAATCACTCAGATGTATGAGTGCACCAGTCTTAGACGTTAGAAAAATGTGCACAAACCTATGGAGAAAAACTGCAGCTTTAATGTCATGTCACCTAATTAGCGTTTATATTGAAAAAAAATTTTGAAAAATTTTTTCATATGGGGACTCTTGGGCATATTTGTAACCAAACAAGACGAAAAAAATACGATTTTTCTTTCGTTCTCATCGCAATTCTCAGCCCAAGTTCAGGACTTCTCTCATTAAGATCGTTAATATTGCATGGCAGAAAAACGTGCACAAAACCTGTGGGAAAACCTGAAGCTTTAATTTCATGTCACGTGACCCTTGATGAAGTATTATTGATGATTCTTTTTTGGGAGCCTCTCTTTATTTAGGGGCTTGAAGTGTACATTGAAGGAAATAATTCAGATTTACCAACGTGCTGAAGATAGGCTGTTGAAAAACATGTACAAAATCTATGGGGGAAGATTAAATAACCAAAAATCAATTTAAAAATAGGTGATGTCATCATGATGTCATAAATGTAGCAAAATTCTTTTATCGGGTCTTTGCTGTCTGTAACTTTGATGATGATCAAACATCTCAAAATGACCCAAGTGGTGGCTTGAAAACGTGTAGAAAGTCAAAGGCCTGAAATAAATATTGAAAAATCAATACTAAATCACATGACATAATCGTGATGTCATTTCTTTAGGATAATTCTTGCATGAGGGTCTTTGTTGGTTATTACTTTGATAGCGATCAAACATTGCGAAGGTTTCAAAATAGTGGCTTGAAAACGTGTACAAAGTCAATGAAGCAAAATTAAATGTTTAAAATTCAATAATAAATCATGTGATAACGTCCTCATGAGGCCATTTATTTACAATATTTCTTGTATCAGGGTCTTTGTTGGCCGTTTCTTTGATATTAATCAAACATCACAAAGGTTTCAAAATAGTGGCTTGAAAACGTGTACAAGGTCAATCGGCTAAAATAAATATTGAAAAATCTATGCTAAATCACATGATGACGTCATAGTGACGACATTTCTTTAGAATAATTCTTGCATGAGGGTCTTTGTTGGCTATCACTTTAGTAGCATTGCGAAGGTTTAAAAAAATTGGCTTGAAAACGTGTACAAATTCAATGGGAAAATTCAATTATTCAAAATTCAATAATAAATCACATGGTGACGTCAGCATAAAATTTTTTTTCCCAAACCCTGTCTAATTGTTGGGCTAAGAATCTTGACCTAACATCCATCAAGACAGGACGAGAACACTATGGAAGTCTGGCTGTTGAAAAAAGTGTACAAAACCTACGGGGCAAAATTAAATATTCAAAATTCAATAATAAATCATCTGATGACATCATCATTCTGAATTACTTCTAGGACCATCCTTGGATGATTATCTGAAGGTCTGCCACGTTTGAAGTCAATCAGATATATAAAACTACCAAAGTCGACTAGTGGAAGAAAATGTGTACAAACCCTGTGGAGAAAAGTCTGAAAAAGGAAAAGAATAAAAACTACAGAGAAGTGTTTGTAAACAAGTACAAACACAGAGCTGTTTCGGGACTGTTTTACCAACAAAATAGGTATTAGCAAATGTGATGAAAAAATTTAAGAATTTTAAGAGCATTAAGAAACTATGAGAGAGTAAAAATGACGAAATCAAGACCACATCTTATCCTGGCACTTGCTGCAAACAGAATGTTGCAGAGGGCACGGTTGATTTTATATGGGTTTTTATACATTTAAAGGAATATTTAAGTATTCCAAATTTAATAATACATCACGTGATGACGTCATCATGACGTAAATATTTTAGAATTATCTTCGTTGTATAGTTAGTGCTTGCTGTAAGTTTGACGATGATCAACGAGTACAAAGTCAAGGGGCTAAAATTAATAATAAAAAATTAATAAAAGTCACATGATGACATCATCAAGATGTCATAAATTTGGACGTGTCTTTGCATGAGGGTCTTTGTTGGCTGTAACTTTGAAGTTGATCAAAGCTCTCAAACTAACCCAAATGCTGGCTGGAAAACGTGTACAAAGTAAAGGGGCTGAAATAAATATTGAAAAAACAAGAGTAAATCACATGATGATGTAATCATGACGTCATTTATTTAGAATAATTTCTGTATCAAGGTTTTGTTGGCTGTTACTTTGAAAATGATGCAACATCCGAAAGGGTTCAAAATTGTGCCTTGAAAACATGTACAAAGTTAATGGGCAAAAAACCTCATTTGGACAAACACAGCTCCTTTAAGTTCGTGTCATGTGATTTGAGCTTAAACTGAACAATTTTTATGAAATATTGCTTCATATTCGGACTCGTAGGCATATTTCAAATAAATAACAGAGCGTACAGTACCCGATTTCTCCTTCGTTCTTATAGTAATCTTGCGCCAAAGTTAAAGACTACTTGTTCACTTATGTTAAGTAGAAAAACGTGTACGAAACTTATAGGGAAAAATTGAATATTGAAAAATGAATATAAAATAAGGGGATGAGGTCATCATGACGTCATCCCTTTGCAATAAATCTTGCATCAGGGTCTTTGTTGTCTATCACTTTGGGAATGATCAAACACTGCAAAGTTACCAAAATTGTGGCTCGAAAACGTGTACAAAGTCAATGGGCTAGAAACACGTGTGCAGGAAAACTGCTCCTTTAATTTCATGTCATGTGATTTGTGTCTAAACTGGGGAAAACTTATGAAATATTATTTAATATTTGCATACTTGGGTATATTAGCGATCGAACGGAAGGGAAAATTTAGCCTGATTTCTTCTTCGTTCTGGTAGTAATTCTCGGTCGAAGTTGCGGACTGCTCACGCATTATGCTGGACAATGTGTGTACAAACCCTATGTTGAGCAACAACGCCACCCATGGTTCAATATAGGACAGTTTGTTGAAAATTGAAAGCCCAGGCAGGTGTAACCGTAATTCTGCAATAGCGCCCTCATAGCCTGATATAGGACAGTCCGAAAACTGTGCGCAATCTGTGTACAAAGTCAATGGGGAAAAATTAATTCTTAAAAAATCAATAATAAATAAACTACTTAAGTTATCACTTTGAATTTCTTTCAGGACTGTCCTTGGATGATGGTTCAAAGGTCTGCCAAGTTTGAAGTCAATCAGATTTAGTAAACTGTCAAAGTTGACTGGTGGAAGGAATTGAGTTGAAGAAGAAAAAAAAAAATCAGAAAAACAATACTGTTTCGGCAAAGTTGCCAAAACAGCTAAAAATCAGAAAAAAAATACCTGTTTGGGCAAAGTTACATGAAACAGCTAACTAGAGGAACAGCCATCAGTCCCTACAAGCCATCTCTAAACACTGGA